CGGCGCCTTCGCTCCTGCTCCCGTTTCCGGGCCAACTCCCTCTGTTGGTCCAGCATGGATTGGGGCTGGGAGCTCTGGGCCTGGGGGGCGGTGGCAGCGGCGACAGCGGCTGCCTGCTGCTGTTGCTGCTGCTGCTGCTCCTGGCGCTGCTGCTGCTGCTGCTCCTGGCGTCGCCGGGCCTCCTCGTGGACTCGTCGTGCCTGCTCCATGGCATCCTCATCCTCTCTGCTCCTGGGCACAGCAGGGCCCCGGGTAAGCCTAAAGCCTGATGTGTCCCTGAGGGCCCCTGTGCCCCACCCAGATCCCAGCCCACCTCATGCGCTCCTGGCGAAGCCGCTCCTTCTCCTTCTCTGCATGCTCAGCCTGTGCCTTCAGGGCCTTCTCCCTCTCCTCCTTCTCTCGAGCAGCACGGCGGAACTGCTCAAAGCTGTCACTTGATGACTTCGCTGTGGAGGATGGGGTGGTCGGATGCTTCTGTACCAGGCTGGCCCAGGAACCCATATTCTTGATTTTCAGGTCCTGTACGGCAGAGGGCAGAAGGCAGGGGACAAGTGAAGAGCCTACTGCACTTGCCATGCATTACAGGGAGCTCATGCCCAACAAGGTACCCCCTTGGGGTGAGGGCTGCAGGGTACTCATGGGCTCTACCTTTTTGGGTGCCACTGGTGTCTTCGGCTCCTGTTTCTGCTTGTCTTTGTCAGCGGTCCCTGGTGGAGGTGCATTTTGCTCAGGAGGCCGGATCACAGGCCTCCCAACATCCACAGGCTTCATCTCGGGCCCTGGGAAACAAAGAGCCTGTGGGCCTGGGCATGCCTTGCCTTGGTGGGGCATGGTCCATGGCACAGGTCATGCTCATGGCCAGCACTGGCCTGGAGCCCAAGCCCCAGCTGTGGGCAGGGAGGCCACTCACGCTGGGGCAGGTGGACTGGGGCCTTGATGCTCTCCGAGTGCTTGGGGGGTTCCGGCCGCAGTGAGGGGCTGAAGGGCTCGCTGCGGATGATGGGTGAGTGGATCTTCTCCTCCTTCACCACCACCAGAGGCTGGGGCTGGACCACTGAGGGCGGGCGCAGCTCCTGGGATGGCATAGGCACAGTGGCTGGTGAGGTGGGCAGGCAGCCTGGGCCTTGGCCCACACTTGGCCCTGGGGTCCATGGCCCAGCCCTGGCCTTTACCTGCTTCTTAGGCTGGACATTTTGCTGTGGTGGAGACTGGTGGGTCAGGCTCTGGAACTGTGACATCTGAGGGGAATGTATCATAAGCGGGGAGGGGGCTTCACGGAGGTGACCTAGGAGAAGGGACAAGGATGGTGTCAGGGAGCTGTTGTGGAGGCCACAAGGACTGGATTACTTAGGACTTGAGAGAATTGTAATGGGGGAAGGGACAGACTGAATGCAGAGCCAGCATGTGCCCCAGCTAGGCTTTAAAGACTAAAGATCCACAGAATCTCCTGGGCCTGGTTAGGGTTAAGTGTCCCCTAACCCCCTGCATATGGGGCCTGCTCAGTCATGCCACCAAGATGGGTATGCACAGGGCTTTCTGGAGTCCCATGTCACGCTTCTACATATCAGAATTATCTGGAAAGCTTTGAAAAACACACGTATAGATATAGGGGTCTCGGGTGGGATTGGAACATCTCCCGAAGCTCCTGAAGTGTGACCTGATTTAAATGCAAGGGACACCAACAGAACCTTAAGACATTCTAGGCTGGTGGAGTGGCTCAAGTGCTAGAGCATCTGCCCAGCAAGTGTGAGGCTCTGAGTTCAAATGCCAGTACCGCAATAAAAAAGCAAAAACAGAAAGAAAAAGACATTCCAGGTTCTCCCTTTGAAAAGGAAGTAGGGCCAGTACCTGGGGGCGAGAGTGAGGATCCTTGGAGTCCTCCCCACAGTCTTGTTCCCTAACTCTGTCTGCTCATCCTGCAGGACGCAGGGATGCTTAGGACTGACTGGGCAGAGCAGGTAGTGGGGTTCACAGACAGTCCACTTCCTGCTAGCTAGTTCAGCTAGCTTTCTCTTGCGGACAAAATGCTGTCCACAAGAAAGTACCTCTTCACAGCACCTTTGCTCCAGGCCTTGCCTCTTCCTTCATGCTGAGCAACCTAACTTGGTTCCCATGTCCCAGCCTTCCATGTACAAACTGTCTGCAGCACAGGCCCCTTTGGGTTCTCCATGGGCCCCCCAGGCTGGAGGTACCAATTTTGGTGGGCCTGAAGCAGACTATAATGTCCCAAGTGTGGCAGATCCTTCTATCCATCATTTAGAGTCAAGACTAACCCCAAAAGACACCACAGCTTCTTGGGGCCTAAAGGATGGAGTGGGTTTTGCTGGCACAAACTTTGCTCTCATGCCAGCTTATCAGGACTCCCACGGACACTGCCATCTTGTTGCACTGGCCTTTGTTCCAGCTTGCCAGTGGTCCACAGGCACACAACTATTACAGCATCTGTCTGGGGCCATGCACTCAGGAGCACCTGCTGAGGCTGAGCTAGACAACAGAAGGCTCTCAGGCTTGTGGCTTCAGAACTGTCTGCTTGTTGGGTAGCCCTCATGGCCCAGCGGCTCAGGGCCGACAGTGAAAAGCTAGTTGGGTCCCCAGGGATGCCTGAGGTGTCTCAAAGACTCCAGCAGGGTTCCAACCCATAGGGCTCCTCATGCCCTAGGCGTCAGGAGCTTGGGCAGAGCCTGAGAACTTGAAGCAGAGGAGGCCTGAGGCCCTCCCTGGGCTGCTGGCACAGGCTGCTGAGCACCAGCTCTTCCATCACCTGTTCATCACCTTCCTCCCACACAGGGAAGCTCAGTGTGCTCTGGGGCGAGACCAGCACAGCTGTGCGGTGGCCGGGCCCAACTCCAGCTTTTTCCAGGGAGGACAGACAGCTGCTCTCAGCTCAGGGTATGCAGGAATCCACAGCACCTGGCAGTTTGTGCTGGGTTTAGGGCAGTCATGGCCCTATTTGTCACTCAATTTTTGGGGTAACCAAAATTTTGGAGGTAACCTGGGAGCCTCCCCCAGTTCTGGGCTTCTCCATCTAGCACGAATAAAGATGTACTATGAGGCTACTGACTACACAGTCTAAGAGAAGGTCAAGAAAAGCCTTACTCTTGAGTAATCTCTGCTTACAAGCCTGACTCATAATAAAGTTACTACAGGGAGTGCCAATGTTCCCTGGGTGCAGCCCTTCTCACCAACTACCCAGGGCTTTTGGGACTCAGCTGAGTCCACCGCAGCCTGAAGCACAGCTAATCACATGGCTTTTCCCACTTACTTGTTGAGTAGGGATCCGACTTGTGATGCCGGGGTGAGGGGTGATGCTGGATGACCTGCTGTGGCTTGGCGGGCTGTGGTGGGGGTGGCTGCTGGCCTGGGGCTGGATGGGGAGGCTGTTGGCCAGGGGCTGGTGGGGGCTGCTGGATGTGGGCGGAGAACTGCATGGGCTGCAAGTGCACAGGCCGGGGTGGTGGCTGGTGCTGCTGCTGGGGTGGTGGCTGGGGCTGGGGTGGTGGGGGCGGTGGAGGCTGCTGCTGGAGCTGCTGCTGCTGCACGGAGGGATGGGGCGGGGGTGGCAGGGGAGGAGGGGGCTGGGACTGCACCTTCACGGAAGGGAGTAGTGGTGTGGGGGGCTGTACCTTCTGCAGCTGCTGCAGGTACAGCTGCATCTGCATGGAGGTGAGGGGTGGGGCAGGTGGCTCTTCATCTTCCAGCAGCACTTGGGGGGGCTGAGCCATGGGGGGCTGTGGGAGCAGGGGTGGCTGGGCCAGGGCAGGAGATACTGCTGGGGGCCGGGCAGGCTTGGGGGGCAGGGCAGCAGCTCTGTTGCTGGGCCGAGACGGCTGCTGGGGCAGCGCATTGTGCAAAGCTGGAAAAACACAACAGTGTGGTCATGAGGCCTGAGTGTCCTAAAGCCTTGGCCTGCCCTTTCTGCTCCACCCTGACCTTGTCTGGCTGGCTTCAGTGACCTGGCTACCTTCTTGGCCTTTCACAAATTTCAGTATATAGACAGCTACTAGTGAGGCCTACAGAAGCAGGCTCCTTGCTCATTATCCTGGTCGTGCTCTGCCACAATCTCAGTTATTCTCAAACAGCCCTTGAAGTCTCACTGCAGGCCTCAATTACTAATTCACAGATCTTTGCCAGCCCACCAAGAGGGTGAGCAGCCCTGTATGCTACATACTGGCTCCACAGGACTAAATCCTTTAGGACTAGTGTGCTCCCACCACCTGTAGAGGTGTCCCATCCTTTTGATCTAACACGCCTGGCCCTGACCCAAAGTCAGATTGGTATCTTCTGACCCAAAGTGTTAACTCCATGCCAGCCATGCTCCCGAACAGCTTTCATTTCCTAGATGGCCCCAAGAAGCTGCTGACCTCAGCAGTTGACCAGAGCACCCAGTCTGGTATGGTAGAACCAAGGTGGGAAAGGGGTCGGTAGCCACGGCTCACCTGGAGGCGAGACTACTGCGTGCTGGTTGAGATGGGGCGGAGTGCTGTGCTCGGGTGGCTGGGGCAGGTGAGGGGGCAGCTCAGGCTGCGGCAGGTGCAGGATGGGCTGGGTGAAGTGGCCGATGGGGTCAAAGACGCTGCCTGGGAGCTGCGGCTCTAGGACAGGCACCTGGGCGGCGATGAAGGGTGGGGGTGAGGACTTCATAGCTGGGGCAGCCTGCTGCGGCATGGAGGGTGGGGGCGGCGGGGGCGGGGGCTGCTGTTGCTGTTGCTGCTGCGGAGGTGGGGGTGGCGGAGGCTGTTGGGGTGGTGGGGGTGGCTGCTGGGTCACAGGAGCTGGGGCTGGCTGCATCGGCTGATGGTGGTGGTGATGGTGCTGCAGGCAGACAGAAAGACACACAGGCTGATGCCAAGAAGGCAGAACCAGCCTGAGACAGACCCAGGGCCCCCCAGAGCTGAGTGGTCAGTTTTCACCTAAAGAGGGACACACCCAAGCCACATACCTTCTTCTGGTCCCTCCCAGGGTGCCCCTTCTTTTTTGACTTCGGAGCCATCTCTGCAGAGAAAAGAGAAGGTAGTGAGGCTCTGAGGGAGCTAACGACCTGGTCTTGGAAGCAGAAGAGAAAAAAAGAAGGCACGAGAGTGTTAAGGACAAGGGCCAGTGACACTGACCAACGACATCCAGGTTGGGTCCAGGACCAAGTTGGTCACCATGGGGAGGGAATGATACGTGGGGTGTCACCTACCCCACTGCCTGCTTCTTTTTCAGGGGGCTGTGACTGAAAAAAGCCTCCCCTGCCAAGCTTCAGACCACGGATGCCATTAAAGTATAATCCTCTGGATACCTGGGAAGCTAAGCTATTGAGACACCTCCCCATTTCATGGTAAAACTTTGGTGTGAACAAGTGTCAGCACAGTCTGGACTCCAACCTGCTGTTGTGAAACCTGGAATATTTGAAATGATCCCATTTATTGGAAAGTTCAAAAAAGCAGAACTCTTGAGAAGTGAGGGGACTTGTTCATGGTCACAAAACTCAGACACAGCAACCTGGGCGTCTTCAAGCACAGTTCTCAGAACCCGCCCCACACCCTGCCTTTCCATCCTCCTAGGGAAAACAGAGTGGCTCAGGTTGGGACTGAGTAACACCAATGCAGTTGGCACGGGGAATACCTTGGCCACTGAGCTATGGGATGGATGGGCAAGTGGGAATGCAGAGGACTCCCAGTGTGAGGGAAGGAAGTGGGTTGGCTCCCCCAGAGTGACCAGGATTAAATGGGACAAGTGCTCACTGCCATCAGAGGACACAGGCCTTCCCCTTCCTTGGGGAGACAGATCTCAGTGAAGTCCCCTCTCCAGGTCAGTCAACATGCTGCAGAGACAAGGCAGTGCCCTGGCTGCTCAGGGGCCAAAGGCTTAGTGCTACATATGTGTTGTGGCCAGGGTGTGCCTGACTCCACGAGGTGTTCACCTGTGCTACCATTCCAGAGGTTTAGGCCAATGAATATCTTTTGCCAGCTGGATGGCACCTGGACAAATATGGATGGTGTACAAGCCCTAGAGGAGACGACTCTAACCAGTGTTCCAGGGCTTGCAATCAACAGGTGGAAGGTTGCACACATGATGTAAGGCCTTTCTGATTCTGTCATCAAGAGGCACCTTGTGGCTTTGCCTGGCTTCCCTTGAGCTCTTTGCCACTGGTGTCAAGAGGACAATGTTTTGCCCAAGGCAAGGCTACCTCTCTGCTTAAAGCTGCTTTATGAGAGCCATGCTAAGCTCCAGTGAGATGCGTAGTCCTTGAGGTGCAGCATGCACCAACAGGATGAGAAGAGACCTTGTACCCTGCAAGAGCTCACCACTCCATGCAAGAGACAAGACACAGACAGAGACCTCAGCAGCAGACACACATCCTCATACAAATGGCCAAGTACTGAAAGTGAGGATATCTAGGATATGTGAACCAAAGACAAGGCCTGAGATGTGGATGCCAAGACTCAGTAAGAAACCTGGTGAGAGAACGCTCTTGTGGGTGAGATGCAAAAGGGGATGGTTTGGGAAGATTTGTGGATCAGGTCAACAGGGCATCTGGCTGCTGTGGAATAGCTGAAAACCAGAGGGCCCTGCATGGCAGAGGAGGTGAGGTCTTGCAGAGACCTGATGTTTCAGCAGTAGAGGCCACTGAGTCAAGGGAGTGGGAGGAAGAGGCCAGGGCTTCTAGTGTAAGAAGTGGCATACCAGGGTGGCTGCTCAAATGCTGGGTGCACCTTTGAGGGGACGTGGGTGGGCACTGAGAAGGGAAGCTAGGGAAAGCAGCCAGGTCATGTGAAGTCTGGATTGGAGAAGCCTAAGGGGCATGCCCAGATGCTGAGCGGAGTGGTGGTAAGGTGTCTACGTGAGGCTGGGGTGGCCTGTTGTCTGGCAACCTTGAACAGAGAATTGCTTTTTCCACTTACATAAGAGGGATAGTGGCTCCAGCTACTCACTGTCTCCCTGGAGGCTGTGAGCAGAAGCCCACAAGAACAGGCATGAGATCAAGTGCAGTGGGCCTGTGGGGTTCCAGGGAGTAAGTCTCTGCCATTTTGGAAAGATCATGAGGAGTATCCTGGAACTTGTCTCCAGAGGAGAGAAGGTGCAACCACAAGGCAGGTCCCTGGGCCCAGACAGGCAGCTTGAGTGTGTTGGGGGACAGCCCCATCAGGCTCCTGTGGCCCATACCCTGTGCTGGAGTTACCGGTGAGAAGACAAGACAGGAAGTGCACAGCTTTACAATACACCAGACCCAGACACCCCCACACAAAACTCTCTAGAAAGGGTTACATGGAGATGGCCTCAAATACTGTGAGATCTTTATTCCATGACAATCTTTAACTCAACACAAATTTCATCTTTACATAGGATGGAAATTGTACAAAGAAATAAAATGTTTTTTGTAAAATCTGATTAAACACTGATTTCTTCCACCCTCCCCCCGCCACCTGGCCCCACTCCAGTGAAGGAGGCAGAAAGGTGAGTTAAAGGCAGGGCAGTGTGGTGCAAAGGAGAGGGGATGGGAAGAAGGCAGGAGGGAAGGGGAGGAGCCCTCCACTGCCCTGGCCAGCTCCTCCACAGGACCCACAGCCAGCTGGTGTACTGAGGCCCTCAAATGGCACCTCCTGTTGCCCAGGAGGTTGTTGACAAGGAAGAGTGGGTGGCCACTGTCCTTTCTGATGTGTTTCCAGGGCACCAAGTATAAATGACAATTTAAGTCTAAAGAGTTTTCAAGTTCAACAGGTCTTGAGCATTCTGTACCAGATGGAAGCCCCACTGGCAATAAGGATGGGTTCCCTGAATAGCAAAAATCAGAGGCCCCTGCAGAAGAGCTGGCATGTGGCCACAGCCCGTGTGCATGCCTGTGTGGGGGGGAGGGGCAGGAGCAGGGGTAACATGTGGCTGAGATACTGTGGGAATCTCGGCTGCCATTTGGTTCAAGATACCAGAATCTTACCAGAAAGACAATGCCAGCAGCTTCCCAACTGTCCTATAGGAATCTCTGGGCATGAAAGTCTCCCCCAGTCCCCCACATCCCAGCCAAGCCAAGTTCACTGGGATCACATTGGGCGCAGGGCAAAGGGCAGCTCAAAATAGTCTGTTTGGCAAATGGAGCTGACTGGAAGCTGGATACCCAGAGAGAGGATCAGGAGCAGCCTACAAACTCAGGAACATCACTGCAGGGTCCTGTGAAGTTCTGGGAAGGCTGGGACCACAGCAGGTCTGGTTCAGAGACTCAAGACATTAGGGAGATTATTGGGCTTCCTCAGGCAGGAGAGGTGGTGGCAGCCTCAGGATAAGACACCAAGGTGCCAGGCCTGAGAGACACAGGCCTCTCAGTAGTACATATAAAATACATTAAAAGGGTTGGGGGGAGAGGGCGAGAACCCTCCTGAATTGCAGATGCAGTTCCTCAGGAGACTTTCTTTTCACACCAGGCAGTTTTCTGCTGAGATGCTGGATTCATGACCAAAAAAGGGCTGATGCTTATTTTTAGAGCAAAAAAAGCCTATTTGGTGCCTCTGGAAGGACTTGGACAATGTGGCCACCCCTGCCTGCCCCAGCCCCAGCTGCTGACGTCATCTGGAGGACTGGAGACACACAGGATGTCCATGCTGATTATGCCCTCAGAGGTGCACTGTGGTGGTCCACAAGGGACTGTGACACTCTCTTGCTCAATCCCCAGATCCTAACCCTGCTGGGAGTGGGGCTGATGGGCCTAAGTGCCCCTTGACAGCAGCAAGGAAAGGTACATTTCTTATGTGACTTGAAGGAAGAAGCCAAAGAAGTTGGTAAAATGTGCACCAGGGTAAATTAAGCATTCAGAAACGTAGGGAACAATGGGGACAGAAGCAGGACTTCAGGAGGCTGACAGCAGCTGTGGCTGGTAATAGCCTCCAGCTAATCAAGTCAGCAAGGATGGCACCACTGAGCCTTCAAGGGTCCAATTGGCCTCACTTCTAAAGCTCCCAATCCTCATTTGGGAACGTTCAAGAGGTCAGAGCACTCTTCCTTAGGCTGAATCAGAATCTTTCCTGGGCTAAAACCACCATGAGGTCCCAAAGGGAAGCACAGTTAGGGTCCGGAGTCTCAGAAAAAGAGGGAAGGGACCAAGAGAGGAAATACACTGATTGGGCTTTGCACACCAAGCAGCACCACATGTAAGTGTGTGTGTGTGTGTGTGTGTGTGTGTGTGTGTGATAGGATTGTCGTCACCCTCTAGGAGATGTCACCCACCCAGAGGACCCCAGGCGACCAGGAAGGCTGGGTGGAACAGCCAGGCAGTCTTTGCACAGAGAGGCCCAGGCAGCCGGCCAGGCAGGCAGCCTTCCCAAAGGCGGGACTAGGCGTGTGCTGCTGGATATGACTAATCCACCCCCGGGGACAGGCCCAGGGCTCTGAGAAATTCCATAACTTGATGGAGTCCTGTCCCTTTCACAGAAGAAAATGAACTTAAGCTATAGCTTGCTGGGAAGGAATCTGGAACTGAAGACCGTTTTATTAAGAGTCCGTGTCCAATGATTAGGCAGGACCTACATAGAGGGAGAGAGAAACCAGTGTGAGAGAAATGGTGTGGAATGTACCATTCAAGTCACAAGAACAGAAGAATTGCAGACTGAGTCAGCTTCTGTGCCTTGGTGGCCCAAAGGACATGAGAATGGCACTGGAGATCAGGAGTTCTGCCCTTGCCTGGTCTGCCTCAGGAGGGGATAGACCCACCTTCCCCTTAGAAAGGCTGTGAATCCAGCATGTGCAGACATCTCCAAAACTTCCTCGAGCCTGTTCACACTTCTAGACAGAATAACTGCTTCTACTAACGAGATCCATGTGTGCGCTACCCGAGTTCACTGGTGTTTTCTTTACCACTCAAGTCCCTCCTTCTCTCCCTTGCCCAGTCACACCAGCCAGATACGCCAAGCTCCTCAGGTCTGCCTGCTGACTCTGGTGTCAAAGAGGCAATGCCAGCCCTTCCTCATCGGATGGTAGGGGAACAAAGGCCTCTGACAAAGCAGGTGATGGAATGGAGGACTTCTGCAGAAGGAGGCAAAAAGCAGAGCAGAGCCTCTGCATTCTTTCACACCCCCAAACAAAAAACATATACTGCAAAAGGAGGAATCACTGACATACAAAGTTATTGAGGAAAGAGGAACAAAAAGAAAAAAGAGGCCAAGGGGGCAAGTTGTGTTTTTTCCTTCCTTTTTGAGGGCATCCAACATGGCTTATGGATTAGGGAGGGGTGTTGAGCTCATTCCCATGTAGAAGAGCAGTGTCTCTGCTGGAGTCACAGATGTAATTTACTCTGGCCCCTAGAACATGCCTGGGAAAAATCCACCCACCCCTCCTCTTACTGTGGGCCACATTCCACAAGGCTGGCTCTAGCCCCAGGAAAGCCCCAATTCCTCCAATCTAACTCCTGGGTGTGTCACCTGGCTGTGCAGATCCCCACTCCCTCCAGGGATCACACACCTTCTCAAGGGCATGCTACACTACAGGAGCAGTCAAGCCATAACCCTGAGATGGGACTGAAGTGAGTCCCATTAAAGACCCAGGGAGGCCAGGGAGCTGAGGCTGGCTGCATGGTTACAGCATCATCCCATGGCCTCTATTTGCACTTCCCAGCCCAAATCCTTCCAAAACATGAAGCATTCCTCTTTCCCCTGGAGCAATTAAGGAACGCCCACAGGCTCCAATCCTGGGAAAAGGAAACAGGAGACTGAAATAGCTGGACTGTGCTTCTGTGTGAATAGAAGAGCGGGCCAAAATCTGAGAGAACCTCCTCATACCTCCCTCAGCAGCCCATGCAGCTGAGGAGGGGAAGATGGGGGAAGGAGCTTGACTCCTATAAGCTGTGTGGGCATCCTTGACCACAAAAACCTGCAAATGGCATTTGGGAAGAGCCAGACATCAGCAATGTGAGGATAGAACTGCAAGAAAGTTCAGAAGCGAAGGACGTCCTAGGACATCCCCTACACCACACGCCAGACAGATCCATTCCCAAGTGCCGGTGACAGGCCACAGCGCTGCACTCGTGACAGCAGTGAGAAGGAGAGAACCATGGCGCCCTCCTCAGCCTGTCCAGCCCAGGTCTGCAGATGCACTAGTGGTGGGGGAAAGGTGGCACCTGGGCTGTTGCCTGTCCCAACATACAACCCTTGAGCAGTTCTACACTCTGGCTGGAATGGAAGTTCAATGAAAGATCACACAACCCAAGTAATAGTCGTGCTCAGAGGAAGTGGTGGGACCACCATCAACACTGAGTGCTGGAGGGCATGGAGAATACATAATAGCTAGGACCCAACTGGGAAAGCAGCCCTTCATCCCCTTATCTGGGCACAGCCTCCCTAAACTGCACCTTGGTCCCAGAGGTCCAGAGGTCCAGTCCTGTGCCCTGAATGGCTCTTGGCATTCTCATCATGTATGGCTGCCAGGAGGGCTTCTTCTATCATCCTTTCAACCCCAATTTAGTGCATCTCTTCAATTTCTTTTGGTGATTCATGTCCTGGGGCCTTGTCAGCAGAACTAACTCTTAGTACAAGGAACAAAAATAGGCCCTTTGAGGAATGTCGGCTCCGATTCAAGTGGAAACATAAGAACAAGGAAGGCAAAACAATTAAGCCCCAAAAGACCAAAGGGAAATATGCCCCTAACTCAGTGCCTACCCCCCCACTCTAAGGCAGAACCTGTCTGAAACCTGATACAGAAACTGAGGCTGCAAGGCTTTCTGGACCCAGAAGAGCAGCCCATCCTGCAACTCCCCCACCTACCAGGAAGAGGAGGCAGCACATTCAGTGGTGTACATGTGGGTTCCCACTTAGGGATCTGCAGTAAAACCCCCTTTTAGTAGGCCCTTCCCAAGCAGAAGTGCCCAGCTATCTCACAACCGAGCCTACCAGCACATACCCAAAAGCCACAGCTTCATGGACAGCACTGGTGGCCAGCCAGTACGAAGGCAAATTGGAACCAGGCAAAACCCAAGGTAAGGAGGGCATCTGGGAAGAGACAAGCCTGAGCCTTGGCAGCTGAGCGAGTAGCCAATGCTGGATTACAGGAGCCTGGGAGCCTGGGAGCTGGCAGCTCTGAGACTGTAAATCTCATCCTCCTTCCCGCCAGGACAGCTGTTCCCAGGATTCTCAGATTACTTGTTGCACAATCTTTCCACTTTTTAAAAAAGGGGGTATGTGCGCATAAAAAAAACCCTAAAAATCTCTCAGTGGCAGCAACAGAAGCAGCAGCACAGAGCTGCTGGAAATGCTGTCACAGTGGCAGGCAGGGAGGGTTTGGAGGCACTCAAGTGGTTTCCTGCCTACAGTAAATGTGCTAGAAGAGGGCTGTGGGGCCAGCGACAAAGGCCACAGCCACGGATTCACAGTCAAGGGTAAAAGTCTCAGGCACCTAAGATACTGCATAAGGGCCAGAGCAGCCTTCCCTCCCCCACCAACTCCCCATAACCAAGCCAAGCTGCTTAAGTGATCAGGTCCCCTTACCCAGGTCAGTTTCTGTGGTTTTGTTTTGGTCACTTGGATCCTTAGAAAAAAAAGTTACAAAACCCCAGTAGGAGCAATCTGCTCCAGAACACAGGAGGTGCAAAAACCCAGAGGAAAGGCAAATCTGAAACTTGGCTGGCAGTGCAAGTGAAAAGTCAATGGCCACCAGGAATGCTAATGGGGCCAAGAATACAGCTATTCACCCAATTCACCCTGCTGAGGGCGGGGCCCCAGCTAACCAAGGCTCAGGGCCAGCCCTTCCTGGCAAGCCTAGTGTGCAGCACCCCCTGCTGGTTGATAGAATTAAAAAAGCAAGGCGGTGTGTACAGGTTAGAAAGGGGAAAAGGACAGGAGACAGGAGAGACAGGGAGACCAGCAAACTGCCTCCTGTAGTCTCTGAGTGAGACTGCTGAGAAAATGGAGAATAAACGTGCATCTCATTTGGACCCATCAAAATCTAGGCAGTTGCGGGATGTGGTGGCTCATGCCTGTGATCCTAGCAATTTGGGAGGCTGAGAGCAGGAGGATCACAGATCGAGGCCAGTCTGCGCAGAAAGTTCAAGACCCTGTCTCAACCAATAAAAACTAGGAGTGGTGATCCACACCTGTCATCCCTGCTACAGAATTGTAAATATGAATATTGCAATCCAGGCTGACTGGGGCAAAAATGTGAAACCCTATCTCAAAAATAATGAAAACAAGCTGGGTATCAGTGGCTCATGCCTATAATCCTAGCTACTTGGGAGGCTGAGATTGGGAGGATGGTGGTTCAAGGCTAACCACCTCTAAAATAACAAGAGCAAAATGGATTGGAGGTGTGGCTCAAGAGGCAGAGCACCTATCCAGCAAGCATGAGGCTCTGAGTTCAAAACCCGATACTGAGGGGAGGGAGAAAGGCAGTCAAGGCACTAGAGATCTGGAGAAGCCCCGGCCCTCCCAAGGTCCAAAAGTGCTTCTTCTTTGGGCTGGGGGGAAGGCTCAGGTGGCAGAGTGCCTGCCTGGCAATGTGGAGACTCTAGTCCAAATCCCAGTACTGCCAAAAAATTAAAAAAAAAAAAAAAAAAAAAAAAAGGATATAGCAGAAGTGCTTCTCCTCTCAACCCAAGTTTCCTGGAAAGAGATGGGGTGTACACCCAGAGCAACATGGTTCTTTCCCTGCTGCTGCAACCCTTCTTGGAACCATTAGGCCATTTCTTCCATACACTATCATGTGGAAATTTATTTCTAGTTAGAATAAAATCCGGAAAGTGGGAGAGATCCAGTGAAGAATATACCAGGAATTATTCTGCCCAAACAGGTATTTCCCACTATGGATCTGGCACACCCCAGCCCACCTGGTAGATTGGGTCTAAGATCCCAGGGCTGGCTCCCAGGTGGTCTGCAGCTTGTCTCCTCAGTTGATGGGAGCCTGACCTGCCCAGTGGCAATCCCATATGCATGAGCAGTATGCTAGGCCTTTTCCCTATCCTCCTCTTCAGGCCAGTCTGAGCACTTGCTCTCCTGGGAACAATGAAGAAAAGTGCACACCTGGGGAACCCCTCCCCCCCACCTGGACCACCCTCCAGCTCTGCAACTGCTGCTTAGAAGTTGGGCCCTAATGGAGCACCAGTCCAGGTCCCGTATGTCCAGGTATATGCACAGTAAAAGCAGAGGCAGGAGCAGCCAGCACAGCAATGAGCACACTCTGAGAAGGAACAGGCAGTTGCCATAGTTCTGAGCCCAGGTGATGGATGGTAGGCTCAACAGCAAATAGGCTATGCAGGATAACAGCTGCAGGAGGCTCAACAACACTCTCATGGAGTGAGCCAGCCAAGCAGCTCCCTGAAACATGGCTCTGCATTTGACTGTGGTGTGGGTAAGACCAAGGGGATGCAGAATCTCCCTAGAGGCTAGATGGGGTCACACTAAGGTCAATGGCATTTCTCAAGGCTCTCAGCTACTAGGCTGCCTCCCACCTGGGGCTTTGCAGTGTCACTGCCCATAGCCACTCAGCCTCCCCAGCCCAGGGCTTAGTGGTGACAATGTGAGAGTCACATGGAGAGAATGTACTACTGCTACACAGGACTACTTACTGTCCCCAAGAAAAAGGTAACACTGCAGGTGAGCAGACAAAAGAGGGCCCAGGAAATTCTCAAGTCTTTGGACTCTTGAGCAGCCTGGGCAAAGGACTAAGCTGGTGCCAGGCACAGATTGGAGTCTGATAGATAAGACCTTAAACATGAGTCACCTAACCTGTTTCGGAGTCTTCGCTGTCAGAGGAGCTGGACTCACTGGTACTCTCCGACTCAGAAGATGAGAAGCCCTTCATCTTGGAGGAGCCAGCAATCACATCAACTTTCTCCGCTATAACCAAGCAACAGAAACTGTGTCAGGCAAGACCCCAACTCAGGAGGCACCCCAAATGCCTGGAGGAAGGACCAACTGTAAACCTGTGCTCAGGACAAAACATGGCTCATACTGGAATTTTAAGACCCCTCCAGTCTCTCAGAACACCTTTTCAAGGGTTTTCTCAACAACTCAAGAGACCAGCACAGACTAATTTCCCAGCATGAAGTACTGCTGGCCTTGCATGAAGGGGACATTATATCCAGAGATGAACCCAGACAAGGAAAGAGACCCAAGGGTCTCCAGCACTCTTGCTAAGTATGCAGACTAAAGCCCAAGTGGATTACTACCACAGCATACCTTAACTTGGGGCTCAGAACCCCAGGAACCAGCCTGGGCTAGAAAAAAGGCAATGTGCAAAAATATTCTGACATAGATCCTAAGTCCCACGCTCCTAAGAGCAAAGTCATGCTCCACGGTGAGGCATGTAACACAAAAGAGATGCCTGGGGAGACTGTCACCAGAGGGGACCTCACCACCCCTACTAGAGAAGGACAGGGGTAGGCTTAGTTGTGACCTAACATCAGTGCCCCAGGACCCTGCAAGATCAGACTTTTCCTCCTGTCCTCACTCCCTAGCAAGCAGCTGAGGAGGAAAGCAGCTGCTGTTTAAAGCAAGGTTCAAAGCACAGGTGCAGGTGGGCCCGGCCAGTCACCAGCCAGAGAGGTTTAGAAAGGCAGTGACAATCAGGGTCATATATTTCTGAGGGTTTCTAAGTCAAAGACATGGATTTTATAATTGAGGGGAAGAAGCCTAAAGAAGAAAAGGGTTGAGCTAGGAAGGGAAAATTAACTGAGGGTGTCCAAAGGAAGGACCTCTGCAACAAGAGGGTCCAGGCGAACCTTGAGGTTTCCTTTTCTTTCGCAAACAGGAGGTGACGTAGCGCTCCAACTCGCGCAGTGTGGACGGCTTCAAGGTCTCAAAGTCAATCTCGATCTCATCAGGGTTGGAGTTCTTGAGTGAGGGCTCCCGTGATTGGATGATGTGCACCACGCGGCCCAACTTCTCCCCAGGAAGCTTGTTGATGTCCAGGCTCAGTTGCCGCTTCTCCTCATAGGACATGGGCTTGCATTTGTCCTCTTCCTCCGACTCATACGTGGGAGGTGGCTTGCTCTTCATGGGTGCTGGCTCCTTCTTGCTATGAAGGGATGATGCACTGTCAAGAACAGGTGCCCTGAGGAAGCTAGCACTTACTCATTCCTCCATGTACATTTGTGTGTGTGTGTGTGTGTGTGTATGGAAGGAAAAGCCCAGTTGGCCTTCAGAGAACATGGGAACTCAAGGCAACCCATTCCCCAGACGCACTACAAAGAGATGGACGGTAACACGCAAGGCGCTATGAGAGCTGGAGCTCTGCCAGAATCAAGCACACGCGGTGGGCTCCCAGAGCTCAGCAAAGGTGAGGAGGCAGAGTGCTGTAGCGGCCCACTGACCTGGCCTGCCAGCTGTGGCAGCACAGTCTCCTCCCTCCCCACCCACGGCAAAATCTAAAACACAGACCTCGCACTGCTGTTAGTGCTGTTGTTCTTCTTTGTCTTTTTGGGAGGAAGCTCCTTGGCTTTGCTTTTCTTGTTCTCCTCCACTTCCTCTTTCTTTTTGTGCTTTTCCTTTTTTTTTTCCTTCTTGTCTTTCTCCTTTTTCTTTGGTTTGTTCTGCTGGGGCTGTGAGAGGGCTGCAAGCTGCTCATGCACGGCTTTAAGCTGTGTAAAAGACAGGCAAGATATACATCCTGGGGAATGTCCCTATCACCAGACCTGGGTATTGGCTCAGCACCAAGCCCAGGCATCAGGGCCTGGCTGAGGAGGAGGTAGAGGGAAGGCCACTGACCTCCCACATTAGCCACAGACCCAAAGTAACCACACACACTTGTTCCCTAACTCCAAAGATTGTCAGCATCCTCCAGACCAGAGAAAGTGCGTAAGCTGACAGTTGCTAAGCCCTTGGTCACCCTGGTCCCAGGATATTCTTAAGAAGGGTTCTTAAGAATCTTGGTAAAAGTGTACAGACACTGGGCAGTAAGTGCCCGAAGACTAGCTTGGAAGAAGAGGAGCAAGCAGGCAGCCCCAGGAGAGGGACATCTGGCTCAGCCTCTTCTAGATACTGAGCCTCAGAAAATGACCAGGTCCCCCACCCTACACACAACAATATATACATATATACAACACATACATATGTATGTGTATATGATCAACATGCACTAGACCTGACAAGAGGGGAAAGGACACAAAGGACCCAACAGGAAGGTAGAGCAAGCACATCTATTGAAACCTCTGGGGAGAATGCCCTGGTCCAAGGGTGCCCTCACCTGCTCCTGGAGCTCAGCCAGCCGCTGGGCTCGCTCTTCCTCAGAGTCGTCAGTGGAACTGTCACTGTCGGAGGAGCTATCGCTGCTGCTGTCACTGGATGAGGGCGGGGCCACCACCTTAGTGGGGGGTGGTACTGCTGGGGAGGACACAGCCACCACTGGCTCCTCAGGCTCGTCCGGCATCTTGGCAAAACGCATTTCAAATACATCCTGGGGGAGGGAAAGCCGTACCCGTTGAGGGTCACCTCGGCCTTACCAGCTGCTGGAGCCAAATCAACAGGAAGCAAGCAAGAGGTTGAAGAGTGCTGTAAGGATGGAGACCCCTCCCTGTCACTAACAGGAAGGGTGGAGGGGTGGCAAGGGGCCAGATAAGGCCCTCTGACAGGCCTTTCAAATCTCACTTTGAAGAACCAGGTGGTCCTGACATAGCTGGGCACTTACTCCCAGAGGGACACAGTAAAGCAGGTAGGCAGGTGATCACTGACATTAGTCTGAGGCTGCTCCACAAATGACAGGAAGAAAGCAAGAGCCTCACAAACAGTCTGAGACCTTTCTGATAGAGGGAACAGCACTGGAACAGGCCCCAAGTCTAAGGCATCTCTAGGGAACAAGGTCAGGAATGTGGGGGATGCTAAGGATTCAGGGAGGGAGTCACCTTGTGAGTTACGGAGTTGAGCAGAGGCTCCAAGGATTCTGGGTACAGGAACCCACCCTAGAAGACCCCAATACCTCTTAACTCTAAGATCCAGGAATCAGCTGGAACCATGTGGGGTCACAGAACTCAGTGAACAGCAACCCTGCCTGTGCTCCTGGGAGTCAAGCCACACTGTCAACCAAATGGCAGGGCCTCTACTCTGAGTACTCCATGATCAATCCAATGATGACTCAAAGGACAGAGGGAGAAGGAATAAAATCATCAACGCAGCAACTCACACAACGAAAGGTAACTTCCCCTGAGTGTGTGTAGATGCTTCAGACAGCAGTGCAGGGGCTGAACAATTCGCAGCATACTGGATGGAGCCTGACCCAGGAGCCTCTCCTGAAGTCTCAGGAAACCCAGGCAGCTGGGGAGGGAGTGCCCTCTGCAGCAGGATATACATCCTGCATAACTGTGGTATGGTTTCCCTTCCCTTCCCTTCCGACCACCTACAGCACAGCTTCATTTTTCTACAAAGGCCTGCCCTGGGATTCTGACTGGCCAATACGAAATAGGCAATAACTTTCTGAGTTATTCAGACATAAATCCTCAGCAGTTATCATGACAAGGAGAAACATACACAGGAGGGGATAACTAGAGTCTCCCAAGAAAAGAGAACTGAAAGAGAACCAGGCAGGAAAAGAAACGGCTTCACAGCGAGGCAACAACCAAGAGCCCTAGACTTCCAGCACTTAGCCACGTGCTGGAAGCACCGACCACCTAGTCACAGTGCCTTAGATGTGGGTAGGCTTAGGTTCCCAAAGAGTCAGCTAGCTTCTGTAAGAGCCAGGTTTATACCCGAATAACAGAGGGGAGAGAAGGGTAATGGGAAGTGTCAGGACATTAAAAAGGGGTGACCAGCTCTCCTTCCTAGGACAGAAGCAAAGTCCAGCAAAAGAGAGAGCTGCTTCAGGTCTCTTATCTGTATCTAGCCTTCCTGGTCCAGCATTCACATCACTATCCTTGCCAAAGTACATCCCTGTTCCTCTTCCCTGTGCTACTTCCATGACCACTGTGGCTACTGTGGCCATGGAGGTGAGGAAGGTGACACTCTCTGTGGCCTCCTCCTATTCCCTTGGTGCTCATGGTCCTGGCTTACCCGAAGCCAAGATCAAGAAGCATAATACAGAAAGTCAGTTGGAATGAGAAACTAACATCAGGCAGGGTTGGGGCTGCTGGATTCATGGCTGTGTCCAGCTATGTGACCCCCCCCTTCTCCTGAACCCTGCTTGAGTGTGAGTGAGGGGCAGGAGGACACCTTGCTGAGTGGCTATGACAGCACATATCCACTAACATCCTATTGTGTGCTAAAGAGAAATGATGCTCTCCCTACCTTTAAGGAATTCAGGGTCTAGCAGGAAGCAGAAGGAGTGAATGCAGCTGTGAACTTTTCTAAAAAAGCACTAAGGAGGAAAGAGCAAGGAGTTGCAATGAACTAGGAGTAACCAGAAAGGGTGTGCTGGACCTCAGGAGTAAACCAGGCCAAGGCCGGAAGACAAACGCTGCTGCAGAAACCAGGGAGAATGATGCCAAGGAGAAAAAGGAGCAGGGAGCAAGAATGTAGATAGGACTGCTGTGGGGCCAGCAAGAAGACCAAGAAAACCCAACTAAGATGCACTGACGGCAAGCGTCTTGTGAGGGAAGACAGTGATTACAAGGACAACACTGGCACTCACCAGGGAAAAATGGGGCTTGAGCCTTCTGCTGCTGGGCTGACAGCATCCCACCATACCATATCCTCCCTACTCCTCTATGAATATGCTTCACAGTGTGCTTCTCAACCTCACCAGTGTGCTGGTTTCAAAGCTGATCAGCCTCACTTACCTGTGGTATGCATCTGAACAGCAGAGAAAACATGTCCCTCCATCTAATGAAATAGACATGCTCACATGCTAGGTGGCCAAAGTGCCCAAACATCCCTAGGTGAACCAGTCCCTGGAGGCAAGGAGTAAGAGATCCTCAGTGGAGGTGTAGGACACAGGAAGTGGGAGGCCCACTAGGTTCCAGGTGTTGGATGAAACTTGAGTGAAGACACAAAGACACATGCACAACCTATCTTGAAACCTATCTGGCTCTGGGATCTAACACAGGATCCCAACATATTTTTCAGTTTATTTTTCCTTGCTGTAAAAACAACTGCATACCACTTTGAATGTGATCCAATCCCCTGCCCCACAGAACTCTGGTAGCCACATTTCACAACAAAAGAAGAGAGAGGGCAGGACCATCAGCAGTTTTGGGGCCCACTAGCTATACTGGTGGCTTTCAGTCCAAGCCACCCTTGGGCTTCTGAGGAAACTTCAAACCTACAGCCAGTTGCCCCTACTCCCCCAACTCCCCACCATGGCTTCAGGCTGTAGGGAGATTTCCTAAAGGCCTGGAATCAAGAGACTAGAATTCAGATAAATGCCATTCCTTGGGCACAACCTAATTTTAACTAAGCAGGTCCCAACACATCTTAAAAGAGGTGAGCAAGGCTGAGGGCTTTGAGTTGACACCCCATTAATATTCTAGGTAGCCAAACCACAATGATGTGGGAGACCTTGGAGAGAAAAACAAAACAAAAACAAACAAGATGCAACAATCACCACAAATGCCTTCCAGAAAAAGAGAAGTTACCCTGGCAAAGACAGGTGACCACACCTGAAGGCAGAGTCCCCCACTCCCACAATACACTCTTCCACTTCTACCTGAACTGTACCCTCCTCAAGGGCAAGCCTCATCTAGTCCAGCATGACACCAGGTCAACATCTAGGAGAACTCCTCAGTTTAAGAGATTACTGTTAGCTACTCAGGGGGCAGAGATCAGGAGAATCACCATTCAAATCAAGTCCTGGGCAAATACTGCAAGAGACCCTATCTTGAAAACACCCATTACAAAAAAGAGCTGGTGAAGTGGCTTAAGGTGTAGGCTCTGAGTTCAAACCACAGCTACAACCTCCCTCCCAAAAAAAACTACTACTGTGTGGCAAACATCTCGGTGACCATGCTATGGGTGAAAATGACATGTCTGTGCAGGTTCACCTACAATGAGGAGAAAGATGCAAAGAGAAAAATCTTACATAAAACTATAAAATCTTTGTTGGAGAAGCAGAGGTTGTAAAGAGGTAATGATTCCAGAGTGCCAGGGAAGGACAGGAAATATCAGATGCAAAAATGAGTAGAGAGTGCTTCTTTTCTTTCTTCAAGAAAATAGCTCAAATTGGGAGGATTGTGGTTCAAAGCTAGAATGGGCAAATAGTTTGCAGGATCCCATCTCCTAATTAACCAGTGCAAAATGCACTGGAGGTGCAGCTCAAGTGTAGATTGCCTGCTTTGCAAGCATAAAACCTTGAATTCAAACCCCAGTCCCACAAAAGGAAGAAAAAAGAAAAGAGCAAAAAAGCATCCTTTGGTCATTGCAAAGAACTTGTTTAGGTTTCACAAGTTCCATGAAGGCAAATAAGGTGCATGGGTATCAAATCTTGGGGAGTGGGGGCAAAAGCTACCCCATCTTCTCTAGAGAATGGGAGGAAAGGATGGTGGCAGGCAAGCATCTAAGGCACAAATGTGAAGGCACTACTAACACGAGTGACCCTATGCAAGAATTACAGTAAAACTGTAGTTTGAACTTTTTAAGGATGGGAAAGGTGAAAACATAAATGGTGAAGGGGTAGTCTTTGTGAAGACATCAGGTAATACTAAACTAAAGAGGGAGCCCCTTTCCCCAGTCAAAACTACAGAAAATGAGTAAGTCCTAGAAATAAAAACTTTGAAAGTATGATCATGCATTGGTTATTTCTTTTTTCTTTCGTTTTTTTTTTTTTTTTGGGGGGGGAGGCAGGTACTGGGAATTAAATGCAGGGTCTCAGGCATGCACTATACCATTTGAGCCACGCTCAGTCTGAGCATACATGTGAACAAGAGCCATGCCCACACTAAGAGTCCACCCAATCTCATAAGGGAAGTGTTTCTTCTACCCCAGAAATTTCAGGACATGTCCTTTGAACCAAAGACAGCTCCTAATCACACAAAAGGCTGAATGACAAAACAGGGGGAGTTAGAGAGGAGCTGTTATGGTGTTAAGTATGGAACAAGTGTGAAGCTAGCAGAACTAGGAGGCAGACAGGTAGGCAACAGGATTCATGTGGCCTCAATGTGGCACAGACCCAGGGGTCACCAAAATCTTTGCAAGTCCTCACCTCTGCCCTGTAAGTACCTGCTGTGAGAACCAGGTGCGAGGAAGCCTTGAGGCCCACAATTAAGACACCTGCATCTTGTGAAGGCAGGTAGCTCAGCTCATAGCCTGCTCAGACTCCTGAGAGAAGCAGCAACTCCTGGCCTTGGGGAGAATTGGCTGGGAATTTTAATAATGTTACGTTTCTTTTCAAAGAATTTAAAAAAGCAAATTACCAAGGTATTATATATTGACTTTATTATTCTCCAGACTTTTTAAACCCCTGATCTTACTACCACTTTAGCCCATTTAAATTTATATATACAATCGTCTTTCTTTAAAATAAAGTGGAGTTAAATGTATACATCCATGCTATAAGGCTCCCCCCACCACACCTCCATATGTGCATTTTACAGTGTTGATCACCCAGAACTCTCAACTTGAAGGAGAGGAGCTGCAAACTCCACCCATCAGGGATCAGAGTAGGAATCATGGTCACATCAAATGTCTACAAATCCCTCCTCCCTGACAGCCAGAAGGTAAACAAAGGCTTTCAAGGCTCTGGTGAAGAAATACCCACAGGTGAGCAGTTACTTTGGCTCACCACTGTGACAAAATTCTCTGACAAGTGTGTCCCCCACTGACTTGAAACATTTGTGCTTTGGAAAAGAGACTGACCCTTGCATCGTGTGCACTCTTCTAGCAAAGGGCAAGAGAATGCAGATGGAGAATGAGGGAATAGGGGAGGGGCTTTCAGTGGGATACCTCAAAATAAAGCTGGCCACCCAGCTTTAATAACCCCAACCTAAATAATGCATTAACCTCAGTAGACTCCACTCTTCAAAGTCACATGGCATTATCCCAAAGGCAGTGACAGAAATACACTGGCCTACCCTACCCAGATCCTCACCTGGAGTTTTCGGGCCATGGCAACCACTTCATGGTCAGGAGGGTTGTACTTATAGCAGTTGGAGAACATCAGTCGGACATCAGCACCAAATTCCTGAGCATCTCGGTACTCACGGGACTCTAGTTTAGACTGGAAAAAACAAAACATGTCCCAGTTCACTATGCTACTTGTTTTCTAAAGGAGTGGTGGTGGTGGTGGATGACAGTGGCAGCGGCAGTACTGAGGGCTACCTGTAGGAGCAAGTTGGCTTCTTAGTGGCTTAGCTTAATCCAGACCCTAAATTAAGGGGGGGCAGCAGTGGGGGGTCGGGGGACAAACATGGGACAGAATCACCCCAGTTCTCAGCATGAGATGGACAAGGAGCAAGTTTCAGTGTTGGAAACTATCCTGTTAGCATCCAAGCTTATTCACTGGGAGCACTATGACTGGCTAAAGAGCAACAGGACACAGGAAGCAGAGCTGAAGCTACAACTGAAGAAGGGAAGACAAAAGTAAGGTTAGGTCCAGTTCTGATCTTGCACATATTTGTCGTGGGGACAGAAAACAGGACACTGGTCAAAGGAACAGAGCACTGTTCTCCCTTTTGCCTGTTTCATGTTTAGGTAGCCTTATTTCACTTCCAGAAAGAGAAAAATGCAAAAAATCTTAAAACATCAGCATTTACACTGTGAAGAGGAGATGGTAAAACCCTCTCCATCACATACAGCCTGGCAGAGGAAAAACAACCCCCAAGCTCTCTTCGAGTATCTATCAGGTATAAGGTGCCCCAAGTCATTGGGAAGGCCTCACAGCAATGCTGTCTACAACAAAAATGGCCAAGTACATTGTGTTAGTACATGGTCCATCCCCCCCATTAATTGCACACAGCTCCCAGCAGGGGGCATGAGGTTTCTTTGGACTGGTGGAGAAAGTCCAAAGACTAGTAGGCCAGGGCCTTCTTGGATCGATCTAGGAAGAAACATGGGAAGGGAGGTCCTGCCCCACCTTGATTGTGCTCATGTCCATGGGGTGCTTGATGATGTCACAGTAGTCATGCAGGCCCAGCGCCTCCACATCCACGGGCTTGTAGAAAGGCCAGGCATAGGCAGCGTGCTTTTTGGCAAACATCTCTTTGAGGATGCCACTGCAGCACTTAAGCTGCTCTGAGACCTTGCTGCTCTTCTCTGGCACTGGGTGCTGCTGTGAGTCGGGCACATCCTTCTTTGGGGGCTTCACAGGTCGGCTGCTCTCCCGTCGGGGGCCCAGCTTGGTGGCCTTGGGTTCTGGGGCTAGTGAAGGTGGCTCGTGAATGGGGTCGATGGTGGTGGGGGTGGTGGTGTCAGCTTTCCTCTTCACCCCCTTCTTTGTCTGCCAGAAACATAGGCACAACAGACTTGGGTCAGAGACGCCAGCTAATACAGCTGCTCTTAGGATCAACATGAAACCAGGCCCTGTCTAGGGTCCCAAAACTCCTGGGACTGGGTCCAAAGGTAACTGCACAGGCAAAGGACCAAGGCAAGGGAGACGGACTCAGTACTCTGCTCTGTAGCTGGGATAGAATCATCAACAGCAGGAGAAAGCACAGGATTTGCTTACTGAGAATTCAAAACCATTTCCTGCTTAATGCCAGAGACTTCTCCCACAGAGCCCCTGAGAGAAACAACTCAGGGACTGTTTAGACAACACCTGAGAACAGGCACTATTCGAATTAAGAGACAGACGAAGGGAGTAGGAATCATGGGAAGATGTAACTTGGATATGAAATCTTTGGGTCAACATCTTCTGGGCTATGAATCAGATGTGCCAAGATATCCCAGGAAACACATGACGGTACCCAGGAGCTAGGACAGGCTCTACACAAACCACCAATAAGGCCCGGACCACCTGTATCTTGCAACGCTCCATCCCTGGTGGTAGCAGCCTGCCTGTGCCCAAGATGCTTACCTTCACAGGCTGCGGGGTGGCTGCGATGATGGGTGGGTGACTCTGCACAGGCTGGGGAGCTGGAACAGGTGGAGGTGGTGGCTGAGGGGGCACCGGCGGGGGCGTCTGCAGTGGCTGTGGGGGCACCACTGTCATGACAGGGGTCTGGACGATGAGGTCTGGGGTGACAGCAGGGAAGGGGGGAGGCATGGCCTGCACAGGCGGAGGGTTCTGCTGAGGGGTCTGGGTCTGTGGAGGAGTTGATGCTTGAGTTGTATTTGGTACCGTGGAGACACCAGGCTTTGATGTCCCTACCAATTATAAAAAGAATAGAGTTAAAAGTGCTGACACATGCTGGCTGACCTTGCCAGGATACCACCACATATCTATGTGGTGTATTTGCCTCCAAGACAGTGTTTCACACACCCCAGACATCACTGTGTCAAACCCATCCATGTCAAACCATCCCCGTCCCCAGGGATCAGAAAGCAGTAGCATATCATACTATACACCTGGATGCAATTCCCCACTTGGGCACAAAGACCCCTTTATGAGAAGAAAGGCTTGGGCAGAAGGAGCAGAAAACCCATGCTAAGTGCTAGCACCAGGACTATGGACAAGAGATCAAAAGAAATGTGCCTTGGAGCATTCAACTGGAGCTGTCCTCATTCCCAGAAGTGCCAATGCTTCTGACAGGAGCAAACAGTAGCCACCCTCACCAAGGTTTCTGGAAACTGGCATGAACCCACCTACCGGAAACCACTAGGGATAGGTGGACAGCTTCTGTCCTTTGTGACTCCATCAGGCTACCTCCCTGCAGCTATGCAGGTGAGTCCAAACATGAAACAGTCACATAGTATACCCAATCTGCTCCAAAACCAAGTCATTATGACCAGGGCTCTAACTTGAGCAGGTGGGCCAGGGAGCATGCCTACAAGCATGGCTCAGATTGCCACAATCTTTGCATGCACATAACAGCCTTGATCTTCAGGCTGTTCTTGGGCAGTGTCCAGGCTTCCTGTGAAGGATAAGGGTAAGGTCTGAGGACTTTCCCAATTCTTCCCCAGGCACCATGCTTGGGCTTCTCCCAGGACTGGAAGAGAAAAGATGTCACTATGATCTGTGTACAAACCAATCCCCTGGTCCTGGAAAGCAAGGACCAGGCTCCTCTAAAGAAAAGGACATGACTTGGTATGTACAACAGTCAAAGGGTTGTACAAAGCCAAAAAGGTGACCAGCAAGATGAAGTTTTCCTTGGTTATTCCAGGCACTACAAGGGAACTGGCTGCCCTCTGTGTCACTGCCACTTCAGAGCAGGGTGGGAGGCCAGGCTGAAGATTTCTCCTCAAGATAAGCAAACATTCTCATATCTAGGAGCCACATCGAAAACATTGCCCTTGTGAAGCACAGAGCCACGAAGGACAAGACACAGAGATACATGAGGGCAGAACTGACTGAGCATCAAAGGGGGCTATGACACAAGTGCATTAAGGTAAATTACAAACCTCAAGGCTTTATGACTGGGACACTGGTTAGAATTGTTTCTGCTCAGATTAATTTTTTTACTCTAAAAATGGAAAAGCGTAACTGGGGGTGTAGCCCTTGCTCAGTATGTGTGCTGGGTTCAATCCCCAGCACCAGAGACTCACACAGACACACACCCCCAAAAGAATAAAAAACATCTATAGCCCCTACAAGAAGTCAAACAATGTCAATGTGCTTAAAAAAGCTACACATTCTTTTCCATCTAAGCTCATGAACAACCCATGGCCCAACGATTTTTACTTAAAAGAGGCTGCAGGGTTATGGGACCCTGTGAGGGAGATCCAATACTGAAACTGACCACCCCATTCAAATGGCAGCACTTCAGTACATTACGTCACCATCTGGAGTCTTCTACTAACCTCAGAGAGTAAAAGAATAGGGAGAAATGAAGCTGATTTCCTTGCTATTTCAGTACTCTACCTGCTTCTTTCCTCCCACGTCCTCTTCCTTTTGCTTGGACTATCATGATTTCAGTCTCTTCTGTTGGCAGTTCATTGATTTTTTGCAAGAAGAGCTTCTCCAGAGCTTCTGCCATTAAGACGATGTCATCTCCAGGCTGGATGAGAAGACAGGTGGGGTAGAGCTGGAAGCCCACCACTCCCTGCCTCTGTGGACAGATCACCTAGTCCACCCCCTGCCCCAATGAATGGAACATCATATTCAGGTTCCTTTCCTGACCTGCATCCTAAGGGGCCTCAGGGATTATGCTACAAGGTGTCCCTACAGGGCCTATCTGCACCTCCCTCTCTCATTGTTTAAGTTCCACTGTTTGAGAAACCATCCTTAGTTTTCTAGATCCTAAGCATCTACCAAATTCAGCCAATCCCTGACAGGGACCCTCCTTGCAGTATGGCCTCCTCGAATGCAAATGAATTCGTTAGAAATACTCAAATTACACAGAATTTCTTGCAATGAACCCTTTAGCAGGGCTCCAACAGTGCTCCCCAACATATCCCCAAGGCAGCTTGGTGGGATTTGGACAAGGCCCATCTCACACTGCCTTATGGGTCCCCACTCTGACACCTTGTCCAGAACATGCTGAACCCACTCAGTCTAAACTGAGGGCCTGATCTGAACATTTCACTTCCACCTAGGTAGTGAGAGCTAAGACTTTACGAAACACAGTAAACTTCAAGAAACTCACCTACCCATCTCTTCTGGGCAATTTTACCCACTACACCAGCAGAGGTCAAAAGCTGAGTTCTGTATAGTGTCTCCCTCCAGAGTCGTTCTATTTGAAAGGGTTGGTTTTAATCACATCTGTGGTCTGAACTGTAAACAAATGATCTGGCTTCATGGCACAGCCGAGCCGAAAGGTTTGGCTACGGGGTTAGGAAGTGACCCTTGGATCTACATGTAAGATCAGGGGGACACTCAATATTATGGCCAGGATTTATCAATGGTCATGTCCACAGTTCCAGGAGACTGTGACCCACAGAATAGTTGGGCTCTGCGGCCGGCCCCTTTGTACCCTCTCTCAAACCGAGGTTTCTGTCTGAGCACACCTCTGCACAACTCCATTTGAGTAGTCACATCCCTGACAATTTATACCATCCCAATGGACTGTCCTCATACCTTTTTTCCTAGACATGCTCAGTAACTAAAATCCCAAGGGCACCAGAAGCACATGCTTCAGGCTAACAAGGATAGCTTACCATGGCCAGTGCCCTCCTCCCCCTGAAACAAACACACCCAATCCCAGGCACAACCACAGGTCCCAACACCTCTACCTTCAGTGGTCTCCTGCTGTCAAGCTGGTTTACCCAAGCCCCCTATCTCCTCAAACTCCTCCCCCTCCTCCAGGGAAGGTAGATACCTGTCCCCACATCTCACCTTGTTGTAGATGTAACAATTTGTAAACATAGTGTTGAAGTCCTGGATACATTCCTGAGCATTCCAGTAATAGTTGTTTTCCAAGCGCTTCTTTATTGTTCCCATATCCATAGGTGTTTTAATGATCTTATAGTAATCCTAGGGAGCAGAAAAAGCAAAGAAGGCCAGTGTCACATTGAGTACCCACACTGGAATAGTGGGGGTGGGGTATGTGTTTGTGTTGGCCTCTGGGTCTTACTCCTGGAAAGCTGAAATTCTTCCATTCTGTCAGTGAGTGACCTCAAGGGAAACCCATGATAAAGTGGATCAGAGTAGGATTCCAAAATGTTGGGTGGCAATTTGGAGAGAAAAATGTGTGTGACTGCCAACTGCCCTATCTTGGAACAGGTGCTCCTTACTGGAATTTATGTTTTTTCTTTTCTTTTTTTTTTTGTTGTTAAAGTATCCTTTCAGTTTAAGGGGAGAAAATAGCCTTTTAAAAAGTAGTTTGTACCCAGAAAAACAATCACAGTAGGTTCTCCTTTGTGATTGATTTTACTCACCCATAAAGTCCAAATTCCCATTACACCAGTGTCACAACCCTCCCTTAACAACTGCACTCCCAGCTTCCTGTCATTTGGAAGAACTCTGAGGCACAAACCTCCACCCTCAATCAACTGCACCAGACTTCCATCTCTTCCACTTACACACAGCATACCATTAAGGATTCATTAGTACATGATGTGGTTGAGCAACTAACCAGATTAGTTGTCCAAATGAGGAGTCTGGACATCCTTCACAATCCTCAATGAAAAAATTCAGTGGACCCAATCTTTATGCCTTCAGATCTTAGTCTCAAGTGCCAAACACAAGCCAGACAAGTCTTTGAGGGCCTTAAAGCCCTGAAAATCAAACTGAGCTACTCTCACAGCTTTTCTGAATCTAAATTATTCTAAAACCAAAAGCTGATTTTCAAAAACACATGAGGAATTTGGAAACAAAACAAGCAATGCCTGCGGTTCCAGGAGGGATGACCAGAGAAGGCCAGGCAGGGAGCTAAGAGACGGCAAGACAGCATCTTGGCTAGATCCATTAAGAGCCACATATTCTAAGGCTACCTCCCCCACCAAGAATGAACACTCCAGTCATTAGGCATGGGTAGGGTATCAAATGGGGCAGCTGGGGGCAAAGAGTCTGTTACAGAGAGGAGAGCGCAGATCATTAGTTAATGTCTTACCTAAAAACAGTGATGTGCAGTGGGGTTTTGAGTTTCTCTGACACTGAAAAAGGAACAAAAGCTACTGCTTGCTGACACAGATCCGTGCCCTACCTTGCTATGGACTGCAATATACACACCCAGGCTCGAAGCCAAGAGGGGCACTCAAACCCCAGACTTGCTATGCTCTGTTCTGCTCTGCCCTCCTTTCCCAAAGAAAACCAAGCACAAATACATCAAGCTCAGTGGAAATCTAGATTTTAGTCTATGGCCAAAGGTCTCCAAGAATAGTGTTCATTATGAGCATTGGCCACACAGAGTCAAGTGGCTCAAGGATAAAGAGGACAACAGTAGAAGGTCATGCAGGAAGGATGCAGGATGAGAACAGAGAACTAGGGGAGAGACTGACAGCTGGGGCACTTGGTTTAAAGCACAATAAGAGGCCAAAACACAGGTGAAGATAGGGATGGCATCAGAAAACAGAAATGAGGGGAGACTTGGGGGAAGGTGGCTCTATACAATAGCTTCTGAAGAGGAAGCTCTTCTTTTCAGTTTCCAAAAGATACTGTTAGTGTGATGATCCTGCCAGCAGACTAGCCCCTCTGGGTCAGCACATGCTGACCCAGCAACCTCCTTCCTCTTGGCTCCTCACTCTCCCATCTCTAAAGACATTGGATCAGTGTCACCAGCAATTAGACTTTTTCCCACATCAGAGCTGCTGAAAGTGACATCAACAGTCACAGAGGTAGGTTTCCAGAGCAAGGGAATCTTGGCCACTCTCAGGAGTCCAGTCTCCAGAAACTGACCCCGTGGCCTCACTGGCCACATGCACCTGTTTGTCCCACTGACCATTATGTTCTCTCAGCGTAACCTGGGATGCTACCTCTTTATAGAGACCTCAGGCCTCCCTGTTCTTGGTCCTTACCCTCTCAGCCCTCCATGCCCCTGCACCTCTCCCACACTCTCACTACATTTTTCTGTAACAAACTAACCCCTCATCTATTCTGGCTTTGACTCATCCTTTCGAAGCCAAGTTTCTTCAAATGGTGGCCTCATACCCTTAACTTCTCATTCAGTCTGTTACAAATCTGATTTCTACTTCTGTGCCACATCTTCCTAAGGTCAAAGGCCAAGAGGATGATCACGTTGGAATCCTTGTGTCCTTGACCTCCTGTAGCCTTGAAGCCTTTGATGTGGAAATCTGGGGAACTGCTATCTGTCAGTAATTTTCCTGTCTCTTTTCTGTATCTGCTACCTTCCATGCCATCCTCCTCCCAGGAAAGCCTCAGAGGCCCCTGGCTTCGACGCCCCTAGCAGCTCCTTCTGTGCCAAGATTCTTTGCTTTTGCTCTAAAAATGTCCACCCTCAACTGTGGACCTACAGAGCCCAGCTAGAGACTGGTGTAGTAACTCACCCAACAGCCTCCCCTGAGTGACTTGCAGTCTATCACAGCAAGTGCCTCCACTTCTTGTCTTGATCAATGATTTGTGTGGTCCCCTTCTTGCCTCTACCACTTTCCTGAGCCAGTTCATGATCCACACCTGAGGTGCCCCCTCTTAACTCTCTTTCCTCCCAAGGACCTGTATTTGCTGGGCACATAAGCAAGGGGTAGCTGTAATACACACATAGTTTTCAAGCCAGGCAGGTTAGACTGGGGTTTCCCTCCTTCAAGAATCTGTACACCCTGGCAGACTAAGGTCACTCCTCCACATGAGCAGTTCCATCACTTGCAGACCCATCCTGCATCAGTTACCACTGTCACTCACCTAATCCACTCGCAAGAGGGCATAGGACTTGGCACAAAACAGAGGACAATTTAGAGACCAGCTCCTGAGGTTCAGGACTGATGGAGTGACTCAAGCAGCAAGAGCCCTACCTAGCAAATGTAAGGCTCTGAATGCTAACCCCAGTGATGCAATAAATAAATAAAATAAAAGCCCCAAAACAACAAAAACAAAAAATAAAACAAGAACAAGTGCACTGTGGCCACACAGAGAAGGGAGACAAAACTGCTTTCTGAAGGAAGGACACAGCCTATGGAGCTCCAACTATAAACCTCTCTCCCCTGGAGGCCACCTCCCTGTACTTACCCATCCTAGCTTTCCAACCTGCCTTGGGTGACAATGCTATTGACTGCTGCTACAGAAAATCTGTCCCTTTCTTGCATAGTCTGAAAGACCACATTTATTTCTACTGGCCTGGCCCACAACAGTTGAGAGGGGAAGGAGGCCAGGACCAGGAAGTGATCCAACTTGAACTTACTTTGGAACTGGAAGGAAATCAGTAAGCAACCCTTTTCCCATTGTTTCAACCTCTTTCTACACAACTTTCCCCAGGATCCTAATATCTAAGAAAAACCAACTAAGTGTTGAAGCCAGTTAGCTTGTTTCTCCTTTACCAGTTTGGTTCATTAGGACTGCTGAAATCACACACTGAAAGGCCCCATAGGTACTAGTGTTCAAAGCTCAGCCATGACTCCAAAACCACCTCTATTCCCTCCCTCAGAATATGATCTCACTAGCAAACACAAAGGAGACTGAGAGGGTGGACAATGACCCCCGGCCCTGCCCAAGCTACTCACAGGAAGGTTCAGCTTGACGGCATCCACAGGCTGTTGGAAAGGCCACGCAAACTGGTGTTTCCATAATGTCTTGAGCACCACTCTGAGCAGATATTGCAGTTGGTTGGTCTGCCTCTTGGGCTTATTGGGGTTGGAGGTCTCTGGGGGTGGGGGGTTGGTGCTGGCTGTGTTGGCTGGCTGGGGTTGGGCCTGGGCCTGTGTTGTAGACATTTGGGAAGTTTCAAGTCCATCCCCCATTACTGGCAGATTTCTCAATCTCGTCCCAGGGCCGCTCTCCGCAGACATACTAGTGATCCCATCACATTCTTCACCAGACACTCTACAAGGGGAGAGAAAAGTCCCATAAGAGACAGGCAGCACATGGGCACCATTTAAAATGACTCATCACTTTGGCTGTAGCCTTCAAGGACTGACCTCCCCTGGTAGGAACTAGTTAGGTCGGCTGGCAGAGGCAATCCATGCCCTGACTAAAAGGGTTCCAATGTCTGCTTTCCTCCAAGACTCACCATCCAGAAGGAATGAGAAATCACTTACCAGTAGCCAGGGGCAGAGCTATGGAGTTATAACAAGCCAGAAATCAGTGGGGGCACTGAGCACTAGAGTTCCCAGGAGAGAAGGTTCAATAAAGATGTTTTACAAACCTGCATGGTCCCTTTCCACCTGCAAGCTTTTAGAGGATGCTGCCTGTAATGGAGAAGAGGATGATTTGCAAGGCCCCAAATTTGGCATTTACATTCAAGTTCTTGTTAGTATTTGTGGTTCATTAAGCATCAAGCCAAGTCAGTAATTCCAATTGGTGAGCCAGGGCTGGGCAAAGATAAGCAAGAAGGCCAAGCCAGCCCACCTGCCCCTGGATGGGCCACACAGCCCAGTGCTGAGTGCTCAGGGCACAGCCTCATTCCCAAAACATTTTCCAGGTTAACTCAAGTAATGCAGGTTTAATGATAAAAGAAATCCCAGAAAAGGTTATTTGTTTAAAAAAAAAAAAAAATCTGTTCCTGACCCACCAGAATGGAGCATTCCTGTAACAATTCCTTGCTTGGCTGTCAGGACAAGCACCCCATCTGGTACCTTCCTGTCCCCTCCCCCCAAATGACCCCTGCTGAAAGGCATGTCAACTCTGCATATCCTGCCACATGCATTCTCAAAAGCATGACTTTGTGCCCTGTTCAGTTATCCTAATGGAACAAATTCCAAAATGTACAATCGCGGGTCAGGGGTACATGTTATTTTTTGCAAAATGCCCAAGAAACACAGCAACCTGCCCCTTACTCAATGCTGAGAGTCCCTGTGCCATTAATGAGAAAAAAAAATCTGCTCAAATGTGGAGTAACCATTTGCACCCTTTTTGTGCATTGCCTATTTATGGACTTTTTTTTTTTTTTTTGGCAAAGTGGAGAGGGTTACTGGGATCTGAACTCAGAGCCTCATGCTTATCAGGTGGGTGCTCGACCACTTCAGCCACACCACCAGCCCTTTTCTGTTTTATTTTTCAGATAGTGCCTCAGATTGCAATCCTCCTACCTATACCTCCCAAGTAGCTGGGATGACAGGCGCATACCACTATACCTCGCCTGTTTGTGGCACTTTTCTATTGGCAAGAAAAAGGCACACAATCTTTAATCCCAGTTTCAATAGTAAAACTCTAAACTAGGGGCTACCTGCATCTAATAAACATCTGTAGGTCAGAACAGGGAGTTCAGTGAAGGCAAGAAAACCTCTGACTGAGAAAGTTAGGCAAGAGCTTTAGGAAAAGGGGTTTTAGGACCACAGAGTGGCAGAGGGTAGTTCTGATGAGATTTGAGGCTTTCATTATGGAACATACTTCAAGCATAAAGCAGCAGCTTTATGCCTAGGTATTCTGGTTGCTGAAGCAGTTAGTCCCAAGTGTAAGAACTAGAGAGAGGTGCACCCAAAGGTTGGGGTAAGGTATGAAGTGTCAGGAAGAGCTTGTTCAGAGGAAAATACAGAGGGATGAGAGCTCTAGGGCCTGGGCCTAAACACATGGAAGACTGCAAGTGCAAATAGTGTGTGTATCTGGCCATTGGCACATCACACTGCTGACCAAAGCACAACGGGGCAGCCTCAGGATGGTTGGAGGGAGGCAACACCCCCAGAAGCTGTGTGCAGCCTTACAGAAAAGACATATTCTCACTCATGAGGTGACAGAGAAGAAAAACAAGAAGCAGATTTAGTGAGGTGTTAGTAGACAATTATTTATACAAACAGTATTAAACAATGCCATTTTGTTCTCATGGTATTTAAATTTATTTGATTTCCATGTGTGGCTTTAATTCAGTTTCCTTTAAAAATAAATGTACTATAAGCAAAAAAGCAAACTGATTTAAAGAAGAAACACTGCTAAGCATACAAATCTCAAGGTAGCCCAAGGATGAAGTAGGAGAGAAAACTAAGACACAGAGCAGCTCTGGAAAAACAGCTGAGAGCTGGGCATGGTGGCTGGCACACATCTTTAAACTCAGCATTTGGAAAAGTGAGGAAGGAGAATTTTAAGTTCAAGGAAAGCTTGGGATACATAGGGAGACCCTGTCTCAGAAAACAAAATCATCTTCCCACCAGGCCCAGAAAGGCCCAGGAAGTTAATTTTCTGTTTACAAGATGGTTTAAAAAAAAAAAAAAATTTTTTTTTTTTTTGGGCGAAACTGGGGTTTGAACTCAGGGCTTCCTGCTAGGAAAGCAGGCACTCTACCGCCTGAGTCACATCTCCAGCCCATTTTGGAGACGGGGTCTTGAGAACTATTTGCCCAAGGCTCCAGGATCTCTCTGCCATCCAAGTAACTAGGACTACAGGTGTAAGTCACCTGGCTGAAGTTTTTTCTTTCTTTTTTTTGCAGTACTGGGAACTCTGGGCCTTCACCTTGAGCCATTCCACCAGTCCTATTTTTGTGAGGGGTTTTTTCGAGACAGGATCCTGTGAACTATTTGCCCAGGCTGGCTTTGAACTGTGATCCTCCTGAGTAGTTAGGATTATAGGTGTGAGCCACCAGCACCCAGCCCAGCTGAAGCTTTTTTTAAATACAGAAAACCTGAACGTTGCCTTTTAGTGTTTTAAGAGAAAGCAAAAATCAAAGCACCAATCCTAGCTAAGTAACTCACATTTGATGCATAGTAACACTTAAGTCCTCACGATTCTTAATACTACTGATCTCATTCCAACTTCACAGGAAAGAAATGGAAACTGAGGCAGAAAGAATAAATTAACTAACTTACCAAGGATGTGATCACATCTGAACAAGCAGAACCTGACATCTGACTCCTGGGCAGTTTAAACTGGCCTTTGAACCAAAGAAGTACCTGCAGGTGAGTTGCACACACACCCCAGAGGGTCAAACACAAACGGTCAGCAAAGGCTGAGATCTCTTTAACATGAAAACTAGTTATAAGAGCTACACACTCATAATGTTTAAGGTCAACTCCACAAGGAAAGAAACTGCTAGGGGCTAGAAGTATGGTTCAAGTAGTAAGCTCCTGCCTACCAATTGTAAAACCCTGAGTTCAAACCCCAGTTATAACATAAAAATCAATCAATCAATCAATCAATCAATCAATCAAGATTTAAAAAAGAAAAGAAACTGCTGGAAGCTGTCAATCCAAATGTGATGGTATGACATTCAACAAGTTAGATAGCCTGAGAGCCACAAATACCTCAAAGTTTTTTTTAGGATGCTCTGAGCTAGAATCAGCAACAGGTTATAGTTATGGCTGCTGGGAGGGAGATCACTAAATAATAAGGATTGAGCCAGAAGGTCTCCATAAGATGCTGGTACTCCTATTCTGCACCCATTCCCAGTCTAGGCAGCATCCACACCTCATGAGACCACCTTCTTACCCATCATAAAGCTGCTATGCCCAGACAGCTGAATTTTGTGGCTCAACCTTCTTGCATATAACCAAAGGAGAGTAAAGTACGGAAAACTTTAAGAACCCCCTCCTATTGCAGTGACAAGTAACAGGAGGATAATCAACCAGAACATCTTGTCTGTTATGGGGCAAGGGAGCAAAGCCTACTGAGCAGTTCTATGGAAGACACAAAACAACTTTTCTAAGGCACAGTCTCCTTGGGTAAATTTTTTACCACAATGGTCACCCTTACCCCCTACTGCCCCAGGCCCTTTCATCTGTGCTCCAAAGAACATGGCCTCTGCTATACCTAGCACCTTTGAGCCTTTCACTTGCTATCCCTGCTAGGACACACAGGTAGGTGCCAACCTCCACCCAGCACCCTGCTCTCCACTTTGAGACTTCCAGTCAACCCCAAGTGCACACATCTGGGAACCTGAAAGCAGGCCTATCCTGACTTCTCTCATGTCCTCCTAGCACAACCAAGTGTACCCTATAGTAGCAACCACACCCAGATTGTTACTGGGGCTTCCAGGTGAATCGCAACACTGGAAAAGCTGTTCTCACATGGACAATGTGGTGACTGCCAGGTTCAGTCACCAGCGCATCCAATGCGTCCAGCAATAGCTACATGTCAGCCCTGGGAACTCAGCAGTTGTTGACATGACAGCCTCCTGAGTGATTAAGCAATACTTGGGTCAATACCATGAACAAGGGCAGGGCTGCTCTGTCCATGGTTAAGGAGGGAGGGTTCCAGGCTCACCTGAAGGGAATATGGTGCGTGCACTGGTAGTGAGACAAAGCAGTGACAGCACAGGCAACAGTCTAGGCAAGAAGGATTATCAGCATGTGAAGCTGACAGGAGGATAGAATGTATTCTCCACACAGTTAAGACAACGTTTTCAACCAAAGCTTTCCATCTAAAAGATTTTAAAATACTTGCTTGCTTCCTTTCCAGGTTCATTCTGACCTGTGGCCAAGAGGTAGAGTTCCTGCTTAGCAAGCATGCAAACGTGAGATCAAACACCAATATCAAGTGCTGCCCCTCCCCCCAAAAGAGTAAAAGCTAAGTGCATAATCCTAGCTACTTGGGAGGCTGCCATAGGGAGGATCACAGTTCAAGGTCAGTCAGGCAAAAAAAAGTTCTCAAGACCCCATCTCAACCAATAGTTGATGTGGTGTGCCTGCCACCCCAAGCTACACAGAAGGCTTTGAAGATCATGATTCCAGAGGGGAAAAAAAAAGAAAGAAAGAAAATGTTTGTGAGACCCCATTAGTGGAAAAAAGGCAGGTGTGGTGGCACAAGCCTGTCATCCCAGTGATGGCAGGAGGATCATGATCCAGGCTGGCCTGGGCAAAAAGCAAGACTCTAATCTTCAGAAAAAACAAAGCAAAAAGGGCCGAAAATAGCTCAAGCAGTATGGCATCTGCCTTGCAAGAGAGAATTCGATGCCTTGAGTTGAAACCCCAGAACCCCCCACCAAAAAGAGGAAGAATTTCACCTTATCGTTTCCAATCCAAAAAGCTGCATGACTCAACTGGATGTCCTACTTCTGGATCTATTCCCAAAGAAATCCAACAACACATGTTCCCAATTTAGAGAATTAAGAAAAAGAGGGTGTAAGGGTAACCATGTGGTGATTAGTGCCAAGCTGCCCCAGGATGCCATGGTAAACCCAGAGGGGCACTGCAGCTATTATTAGTATAAAGCAATCAATCATTTTAATGTTACAATCCACTATATTCCTTTCAACAATGCCATAGCTTATAAAGCTTTGTGTTTAGCAGTTGCTGTAATGAAGAGCAAATACTATATAAAAATC